GAGGTCTATTTTGCAAAACGGCTCAGAAAACATACGGGACTACTAGTCCCGTATGTTTTAATCACGAATTAGTGAACTCAAAAAATTTCACAAAACATTGAGATGAACTCAGAAAACATACGGGACTACTAGTCCCGTATGTTTTCTGAATCACTAATCTGTGATTAAGTTGACTCTAAACATACGTGACTAGTAGTCCCGTATGTTTTCTGAGTCTTGTTTTTCAAAATCAATCTTTTTTTTTAAAAGAGGTCTATTTTGCTAATTATTTAGCAAAACGGTATATTTTGCTAAATAATTAGGAAAAATAGACTATTTTGCAAATTTTCCCTTTATTTTATTCATAATGAGACTTAACATGTTATTGGATAAAAGAGATACGTTTCATATTATTCAAATTATTTATTTATTTCAGTTTATGGAATTTGTAATACACACTCTTAACTTTTTACAAATTACAAAATAAAACCCTCAAAATTGTAAAATTTATAAAAATCCTGATAATTTTCAACCTAACAGTACATTGAAAATATAGAAATTATAAATATCCCCTACATAATTTATAATTTATAGAAAACACCCTTAAAGTTTTAAAAAGTACAAACAAACCTTTAAACTTTAAAATTTTAAAAAAACACCCTGGTAATTTCAAATTCAGCAGTAAATTAAAAGTATATGAATTATAAATAGTCTATAAAAAATTACAATCTGTAGAAAAGTCCTATAAGTTTAAAAAATTATAAAAAACCCCTAAAATTCATAATTTACAAAAAAGCACCTTGATAATTTCTAACCTATAGACATTAAAATGACTATGCAAAATTACTAACAACCCCTTGAAAATTAAAATTTTACAAAAAATATCATACACCTTTTAAAAGTATAGGTTTAGGAAAGACTTTTCATGGCAAATATTATCCATAATGTTTTTAAAAAGTACATAACTAATTGAAAATCTATTAAATTTAAAATTTACAAAAAAAACCTCCCTTAAAGTTTAGTACATTGCAAATTACCCCTCCAAAGTTTAAATTTTTTTAATGATTTTTGGTAGAATTCCTTGATTTCAATGTAATGTTTAATAGTTTTGTGTATTTATCAATTACAAAATTTTAGGGTATTTTTTACAATTTTTAAAACTTTTGAGGATGTTTATTTTATAGTTTTCTAAATTTTTATTGTGTTTTCGGTGTAATGCACATATACGCCAATTAATAATGATATTGAAGAGTATGTCATTCTTAAGATTATTAGACCATAGTTAAGTTTGCATATCACTATTCCTAGGCAGTATAGTTAATATATGCAAAAATTTTCAAACATTTTATATAGTGGTTAAAAAGATTTTTACTTTAATGTACTATTTTTTTATAAATTATATTTAATATGAATCCACCATGTAATTTTGACTGTGGTCATCATAATTTTAATATGTTTGATTGATTGACTATATACACATATAGACTATAGATTAATATACTTTCTCACATGAGCTAATATTTGATGCTTAATAATTTAAATTATTACTTTTAAATTTAGTATAAAGAGATATTTTAATAACATTTATTTATTTACCTACAGCATAATACAATCTCAATTCCTATTTTTTACTGGAGATTTATTCTATAGTTATGCGTATCAAATTCGTAACTAAAATAATAATTATTTATGCTTAAATTAGGATAATTTTAGTTGATCACCCACTATAAAATTTTTATGAAGATATATATCTTACTTTCTATAGCTATCTGCACTACTCATGTATATTTTATAAATTAGTTTTCAATTTAACATATTAAATTATTTTTTCTTTGTAGAAATTTCTTCTTTGACTTTTAGACCGTGTAATCATCATATCATCATTCTAGCATAGAAAGAACCTCACTTTAAATGGCTTAAAGCTAATGTTTGAGTTGAACTGAAGTATATACTATTGTTACTATGTGTATATATTTTTAAAAAAAATCATGTCAACACTTTTTAAATAGAAGAGAATATTCTAACATCTCATATTATAAAAACTAAATATAGCCAATTGAGTGATTAGCAAAAGAGAACTTACATAAGAAAAGTATGAATAATAAGATAAAGAGAAAAAGCTAATGGCATTGCCAACAGTACTACAAGTAGCAAACTACAATGTAAAGTTAACCTACTTTGTGGAGCCCAACTACTGGTTATAAGCATTGAGGTTTTCATATATATATATATATATATA